AACCCCCTTAAACCCCCCCCCCCCCCCCCCCATCCATTATAATTGAAAGGTCAGCATGGACTCATAATGGACTCTGCATTAAAAGGATGTTAAGCTTGCGTTAAGCTCAGTTGACTGCATTTGTGGCATAATGTTTATTCCAACAGAAAATATTTTCGCCTTGTCAATAGTTTTAAAAATAAAGCAAAAATTACGGGTTATAGTAAGGCATTATCAATGGAAATAAACAGTAGAATTGTGCACCATTCATAATTTAATTAAAAATGCCTTTTAAATTCCTGACTTCCATTTGAGTTAGCAAACATAAATCAGAATTGCAATTTGAATGTAGGGAAGCATTCAAATTAATTTAAATAAAATTTAAATTCAAATTTTAAAAGTTTGAAAAGTTGGAAGTTCGAAGGTTGATAGAAAGTTTATGTATTTCATCATATTTAATAATTTAACTTTTGTCACAATATGCCTGTTACAGGGCAAACAAGACGTGAGACGTACGGATCCATTTGCAAGCTTTATAAAAGGCGTGGTCAAAACAGGCGACGATCAGGCAATGGCAAACAGGTATATAGAAGACAAGACAAGAGCAGTCCAGTAAACAAGTGAGGGTCAGTCGATGGCGAACGTAATCCAAAAGGGGCGAGACTAGACGGATAATCCAGGTACAAGGCAAAGATCAGAACACAAGAAAACAGACAAGGCAAGACTAAGAACTAAGCAGGCTCCGTAAGGTAGCTATCAGCTATAGCAGTGATACACGACTCAGCCCTGAGAGCGAGGAAGTCCATGGCTTATGTAGTATGTCTGATTGGCTTCAGCTGTGTGTGTGTAATCAGTGCATTCAGCTGTGTGTGTGTAATCAGTGCATTGGATGATGGGAACTGTAGTCCGGGTGAAGTGCAACAGTAGTGTGGTGCATGGACCGGATTCGTGACAATGCCTTTAAGATGCAAAAGGTGTATTAAAAAACAGACATATGTTCTTTTTGGCAAAGTAAACAAAGTTCCTCACCTGTGAACAGAGAGGGGCAAAGACATTCGTAAGATGGGAGATCTGTGTAGGCTGTTCTCTTGCTCAGACAGGTGCCTCCATTTAAGCATGGCTGTTCATAGCATCCATCAATGTTCTCGCAATAAAGTCCTGAAAAGTGTTTGTGGCACTGACAGCTAAATGAATCGTCTTTAAATGTAGTTCTGCATTCACCATTTCCCGAACACAGGCGAAGAAGAGGTGAGCTCTGGCAGTGCTGAGGCTTTACCAGAAGTGCAATGCGTAGGCCAAGCCTACACAGTTGACTACTGCCTCTATGAACAACAGTGAAGTAATTCATACCGGTCTTCAGCCATTTCGTTTCCACTTGCAAAGTACCATTAATACTGTTGGCAAACACCAACTGCTCCTTTCGTGGCTCTAAAATCAAGCAGTTTTCAAACTCCTCTTTGGACACATTAATTAGGTGGATAACATATTGTTCCAGCGTTCTGTCAGCAGAAACAAACATCACATCTCCAAGTTGAAATTCCAGCGGGCAAAGCTGAGGAAAGTGATATGGCCCAGTTGTCCACAAGTGTCCATTTGGTTCTGTTTGTCTACTCCAGCACTGGGTCAAGCTGCTGCAGGTGTTCTCCATGAGGGTCCACCTCACGCTGATGTTCTTTGGCTGAGTGTACCATTCACGAGTCGTGGCTCTGCGGCAGGTTACCTGGCTGTAGACAGTACTATCTATTACACAGCTGAGCAGCAAGGCAATGATAACTAGGTCTGGGTTTCTCATGTTTGTCTTTCCTCAACCTTGACTGATATTTTATTTAGCCACTTGATTTCTTCAGCCGGAAACTTTTCTAGAACTCTGAACTGTAGGTTCTGTAGGAAAACAAGTAGATCTCTGTAAGCAAATATGTACAAGGCAATAATGTAGCATGTTGCAAAAATTGCATGATTACAACTTTGAAAATTGAAAAACCGAAATGTATGTAATTAACATAGTGCTACAGGATTAGTAGTGGTGTCTGGAACACCATGAGTCAGGAGACTGTAGTGTAACACTGTGAGTTTTTTTTTTAAAGATTGTGTTATAAAAGATAGTCCTCATAAACAGCTGTTGTATTCTCATTTGAATTGTAGTAGAGATTTGGACCAGGAAACAATATTTGATACATCATGACAACAAGCATATAGAACGACCTTTAAAAAAAAAATTGTATCACATTCAGTAAAGACTGCAAACTCACATTCACAACTCTAAAATGTGATTAGTTTAAAAGATTCAGCAAACAACCTTAACTAAGCAATCTGTACATTTTGACAATATTAGGTTTACAAATGAACAACAGGACCCAACTATGCAGTTAAGTGAGTTCAACAGAATGAAGTCACATACAAATGAGAACTGTTGTTATATGGGCAGGAGTTTAATTCTTAAAAGTCAACTGTCTTCAACTGTTGTCTTACACAGAAAAAAATAAGAGCTTACAGGTTTGGAATAACATGAGGGTGAGTAAATAATGACATAATTGTTAGTTTTGGTTGAGTTATTCTTTTAAATTGTAGGTATAGCTCCTGTGATGAATAAAAAAAACAAACTTTAGTTGTACAACTGGATAAATAAGGAACGTGTGCATAGAATGAAAATTAAGAAAAACTTCAGCAAATATAACATACATTGAATGGCTCAAGCTTTAAATGTAGATTCAGGGTTCTTTCACAACCCTGCAGAACCATGGATTTCTCCCACAGCTTGGCATTGCTCTGCCCCCAGGGAATCAACTTCAGTAAAATGGCCAGCTCTCTGCTCTACCTGCCTGCATGAGGCTAGTCAAACTAATGAGCAGTCACATTTGACTCTCCTTTCCTGTGTGCTCTCAATCTTGGACTGCTTGCCTGGAAGAAACATTGCCCTCAAATCTCTCACCACAAGGGGCAAGGAGGGCAGTAACTGGCTGCTCCACTTGTTATAGTCACTGAGGTTTCTGTGAGGTGTGTTGCACTCACTTTTCTTCGTTGTGTATACTGAAATGAAATTGCATTTGCCTTAATTTAAATTTTTATTTTTTTTTACAGGAAAATGTTATCTTTGACAACATTTAATTGTTAAAGAGATAACAACGAAAATGATGAAACACAGGAAAATATAAAAAAAAAAATGTTTGTAACCAAACAGTTTTGATGACCAATGACTTCCATTGTATTGACCTTTCTCAAAATATCTTATTTTATGATCCCCAGAAGAGTGAAAGCCATACGGGTTTGGAACAACAGGGTGAGTAAATAACATAATTTCCGTTTTTGTGTTATATCCTTAGGTCATGAACTGAGAAATCAAAATGTAAGACATGTAAGAGGTCATTGTACTATAAAAGCATCCTGTAAGTTTCAGAACTCAAAACTTTCTCGTTAGTCTAAAA